CCCCCCCCCCCCCCCCCCGGACTACTTGTACATAGTCTGCTCTCCGATCGTCTCTACGAGAGATTGCTTGTGTAAGATAATAAGGTTACACCATTTAATATTAGTCTAGACTACTAGCTGCACGCCGCACGGATGATCCAACCTCCCCAACGTTTTTGCGCGGTATCGGCCTCTCTCTAGTTGTCCAAGTCGTTGTAGTGGGCTGGCGATATCGTTGGCATGCGTACGATCCCCCCAATTGACAGCATCTTCGTCGGCCGAGGCAAGCACGTGATGAGTGTTGATCCAGATACACAGCCCCCCTCCCCCCCCGCACCTCAACTTCCTGCGCTTTCGTGGCGAGTATATGTCGCGGTACTCTTCGTGTGCCCCCCCGCCACAGCTCACACATCATGACATGAAAATGCAAGTCAGCGGAGGACTGCTGTTTGCCCAACGAAGTACCCTTCTCTCAGGCAACACACCCTGAATTCTTGAGCGGCTTCAGGTGAGCCCTACAGAGTACACGCGACGTTTGGAACGTTGTAAGCCCTTGTTCGTGTGTTCCCTCCGTCAACGCCAAGAATAATCTGCCGCTGCGGTTGCCTCCCAAACACAGTTCTAGATTGAAGCAACCCCGGTCTCATGACACCGCGAAGCACTATCGTGGGTCACAACAACATAGCAACAGCGTCCCGACGCTACCCATAAGCTCCCTGTAACCTGCAGCACTCCAGTGCGTTTTCGTTGAAACAGGCAGGTAAGAGCTGTACTGCTTATTTGTGGAGGTCTCATTGACGCGCGACGATTTTTCCCCGGGCTGTGGTGTTTCTGTCTCGCAACTTGTACTTTTTTCTCCTCCTGCTGCTCCTCATTGCGGCGGGACAATACCGGTTTATTGACTAATGGAGATTCGCTTGCTGCTTTGAGGTGGTTGCATGCCGTCTCCTAGCTAGGCCGTAGTTGCAACGCAGCCTTCTATTGGGGTTATAAGATCCCAGCTGTCGCTGCGGCAGGTCTATGTGTCGCCGTGTCGATCAACCGATAATACTCACGGCGAGCTTGTTTTCCATCGACAAATACAGATAGACTGGATATCAACACGAAAAACTGCATGTTGCGCGGCCGTAGCTGTTGTTTTGTGCACGTGTTGGCATGCTGCCGCACAACTGGTACATATGCATAGAATGCAAGCGTTCGACCTTGGTTTTCCGATCGCTGTCGTTGTTGTTCCTCTCGCCCTATAGCAGTAGTGACCACGCAGCGGCAGCACGACCGTCGACCCGACAAGCGAGAATGTGGGATGTCTGTCTTTTCTTTTCACAATGATTCTCAAAATGGAGGTTACAATGTCTCCTCTCCTCTCACTTCTTACCCGCGTGGGTGACGTGTCTACTGTTTCCTCCTGCAAGACAGTCAAGCAATCCATGCACGGGTGGGTACCTTGCGCTGCTGACGACGTCAAGGACAAAACTTCATTTTGCCCGCCGGAGAAAGTATCAACATTCCATCGCCGTCACTGGTTGTGTGCAAGTGCATCATCTTCGTGCACTGCGCCCTTGGGGTCTTGCACATGAACATGACCTATGGGTTGCGGTGCCAATCGTCCAACTCTACATCCATTGTGCTTGAATGGCATGAGAGAGCTCCGCGGTACTTGGTGGAGTACAAGCGAGCGAGCGAGGTGGGCGTCCGTCACACTTCAAATTTATTTCAAGGTTTACAGCAGTCAGTATGCATGTGCCTATTTAGGTACCTGTGTCGGTAACGCTTGATGTCTACGTTAGGCGGACACAGGCGAGACGACGGTAAATTTCATCTCAACAGGCGGTAGGCGGTTTTGCGTTATTCAGTGGTAATTACTTTTGGTGGAGGCGGTGCAACCAATATGTGCCGGTGGACGGTACAATTATTGCTTGCGTTTCGATGCGAAACCGCTTCGGTGGGATGTAGGTAAAAAAATGTTCATCGCCGGTTCCCCGCCATTAATAGGTACTAGGGTAATTATCGTCGGGAAGTTGCCGACGCCCGTAGTTTTAACGTTTTAGCAGGGTGTTCATATTGCAGGGTCACCTACAAGGATTCCAGAGCAGAAAAGACGTTGTACCCAGTCCCTGAAACGAAAAGAGTAGTATATAGTCTAGTGGTGATGGCGTGCAACATTCGTGCGTTATAGAAGGGCACCAGAGCTCCTATGTAAATAGTGGTATTCCACACCATACTATTGGATCTTACCGGTGGGTACAGTATAGTGTTTCCCCCCCGATTGTCCACTAATGTTTCCATCGTGTTGTTTTTTTCTCAACGCCAGGAATGGGGAGGGCGAGGTTGTCGGGCAGAACACACCGGCTGCGGCGCGCCGAGCATTTTGGTGGTCAGCCAGCTGCAGCCCTCTACGGACTACGTCTTCCGTCTGCACTCCGCAAACGCAGAATGCCAGTTCGGTGACCCTGGTCCAGAAGTTGTTTTTAGTACGAAGGGTGAGCAATACAAGACGATCGAACGCCCTCCTTCTCTGTGCACTTTTCTACAACATCTTTCTCGGTTGTTTCAGCACCTTAATTCTTCATGTGGATTTGCATCTACCGGTACGCACTGCTGTACCCTTGATGTGTGTATGTTTGTCCTCGTGGGATGCTGCTGGTGGTCACATTCGAATCCTGCTTCGCTTGTAGACGACACGAGCGTGCAACAATTCATTACTCGGGAGGGATCACACGCTATCTTACCCACAACGCAAGCCCACCCGTTGCGCTGCCTCGAAGCAGGTAAGACCCGCTACCGTATTGTTGCTGTAGACTACATTACAAGTGTGCATATACCGTTGCTTGACTGGCGGGACAGCTATATTTGTTTTCGTTTTCACAACGAGATGGGTCCTTCCGCGATGACCCGAAACCTATCCCGGCCGACATCGATTTTCCTGAGCGTTTGCCCACTCGCCGACAGGAAGAAAAAGTGGATGCTGCGTGGTGTCTTGACGTCATCGGACGTCGGGGGCCTCAAGACCGCCGACGTCCAAAAGAAGGAAGGAGAAGAAGGAGTTCTACGCCAGCGACATGCTTGGTGTGCCTTTCGCTGTCAGACAATCGGAGCACACTCCTATTGGGTTGAGAACGGGGCGAGGCAGGTATACTACAATACATAGGTAGTATGTATGCGTACGTCTCGTCATGAGTTGATTCCGAACACATTCGTGTCGTATTCTGCTGTTTCCGGTTTACGTTGCCCTTTGTTCTTGGTTTATTTTTGATGTTTTTCCCACAAGTGTATGCACGTGTGCTATTCAAGTGTAACTGTGGCCGTTGGTCCATCGAGAAAAATAACTACCTCGGAATCTTGCGTTCCTGCAAACCATCTTACACCCATGTCAACATTTTGCGCGCGTGTTGTTGATACTGCGTGTGTTTCTTGTCGTAGAAAGTGATTTTTTTCCAAGAATTTTCAGCCCAACCATGCCCTGCCTTGTAGCACCTATTCCCCTCCTCCTCTGACATCATGCACTTTGTGTTCTGCCACGTTGGCAGGTTTGTTAGTAGAGCGGGGTCGTCGTGCAGGAGTGCGGCTTTGGCGGCGGCGGGGGTGGGGGTGGGGGCACAGCGGAATGCAAGCTTGGCAGGTCCAGGGTTTAAACTTTGACCTGAGACACGTGCAAGCGAAACGACTGTACAATAGTAAACCAAGCGTAGTTACCGTTGTTTCGAGCTTCTGCGATTTTTTGACAGCGTATGTTATGTGTGGGTGGGGGCGGAGGTTTGCTAGTTTTTCCGCAACGATGCCAATCATGGTGTTGTGAGTGAGAGCTTTTAATTATGCACGATGCCCCGTGACAGGCACCTAATCCGGCTCCATGCACGACCCCAAATAAATGCCGTAACTCAACCGAAGGTGTGGAGTGGCGCGGGACATGGGGGGGGATCGTTTGCCTACTCTCCTTTTGCGTGGCCTCATGTCAAGCGTGTCGGAACTGGACGCAGTACAGCAGTACAATAGTTCATTGTGTAAATACGTCGTGTTTTTGCCGTCAAGGGAGCAGATTAACACGTCCATGGTGTTGAGTGGTGGCATGTGGCATGTGTAATGCTTTTTGTGTTCGTGATCATCCCGGGCGATTCGCTCCCAAGAAATGAGGGTGCATGGATGAGATGACACGTTCACAGTGTTTTTTTTTTTCAGTAGTGATACGCATTCCCTGTACAAGCAGTTTCGGTATTGTTCTCTAGTGGTATGGTACAAGTTTGAAACACGCTGTTTAACCGTTTCGTTCGACGCCGTGCGCTGATTACAGGTGCATGTCAGCGCGACTTTGTGTCTCTTTGGATTATTTCTGTTTGTTTCGGTGTTGTTTTATATAACTACTGTATGCGCCATCGCCTGTACAAATAGTGCCTTTGAGTTGCCCCTCTTGCTCTGCTATCACCTAAAGCTAGCATTAGTGGTTTTTAGCTCCGCGGCCTTGCTCCCCACCACAATTTTCTCGTCATTCCGGTAGGATGAGACTACATGTATCGTGTTTTTTTCATCATTTTCGCACGCTTGTTACAGGTTTTCGTGTGTGTTTCTTCGTTTTTTATACGTGAATGAGTGCCCAGGAGCCGCGGCGTGCCGGGGGCGTTGTTTTCTTGGTGAGGAGAATTCATTTGTTGTTTGTTACTCAATACTACTTCTCCCTTCTTCCCCTCGCTCCTCGACAAGCTTTTGCTTAGACATGGGTT